CGTGGTTATCGCCTCCAACGTGCTGTCCCACCTCTCCTCACAGAGCGTGGCGTCCCCACACGGCCAGGCAGCGCTCATCATTCACACACACAAAGCACATGTGCACCTAGGAGCTTTCTACAGCAAGCAGCCCCAAGAGGCATCTCAGCCTAATCTTAGAAATGCGGGATCAGAGCCCCGGCTGTGAAGTGGTGGGGAGGCTCTTGACCCACAGCCTTAGACTCCCAGCCCAGGGCTATCTACTTGGCAGGCTGCCTTTGTAACATGCTCGCTCACCTGCTTTATCGTCTTTTGTTCTACAAATATTTATGGACTATTTACGAGGTGCAAGCCCCTGTTCTAACTCCAGGGGTATAAAGGTGAATTAAATAGATGTGGACTCTGTCCTCGTGGAGCTTATGATGTTGACAGGAAACAAGCACGTAATCATGCAATTCACTCATAGTAAGCTATCTGCCTGTGATGGGGAAGTGTGGGGGGCAGTGGAGCAAGTGGGTGTCACCCACTGCAGGCTTACACCGTCCTAGAGAGCTATCCAGAAGAAGAGACATCACAGCTGAAACTAAGGGGTGGGGTATAAATGAGCCAGATGAAGAGAGAGGCTCCAAGCAAAGGGAACATCCCCAGGGTGAGAGAGAGTGGGGCACCTGATGGAACCGAAAGCCACGAGAGATGGGTGGACGTGAGGGAAGAAGCTGGAGGAGGGGCAGATGCCAAGGCAGGAAGCGTCTACCTCGCCACACTGAGGAATGGGACTTTCTCTGGGGGTCATGGGGAGCCCTTGAGGAGTTTTAAGCAGGGGAGTAACAGGATCAGCTCCGTGCTTGTGCAGCATCACGCAGGCCAGAAGTCAAGTAGCGCAAAGGCAGAGGAAGGAGCAGGCAGTGGTTGCAGCATCTGCGAGAGGGATGGCAGCACTCTGCTCTGGGGCGGGGGGAGTGGCGATGAAGCTAAGAGGAATGCTGCAGGAGAGAACGAGCACAGAGGAGAGCCCAGACTCCAGAGACTCCAGGACTGAGGGGCAAGGGATGGGGTGCAGG